TTTGGAGCTCAGGCTTTAAATCTTGAGCAATGCCAATCCCAGAAGCATATCTATACAGATGTCAAGTAGTCAATCTTACTGTTGCAACTAATACCCCAGAACTTACAAAGAGGAAGAAAGAGGAATGTTGCTGCCTCTAGGAAAAGTACCAAGGAATGCTGGTGTGCTCTTCTCTGTGGCAGCTAGTTTCCTAGCACAGGACACCTTGGACAAGACTTCAAGTTAACTCTTTTTCTGTGTCCGTCTAGTTTCAAATGTAATCCGAAGAACCTAATCTGTTATTGCAAAGTAAACAGCACGTGTGAACATCTGCTGATACAGAGGGAATGCCCAATTATTTGTGTAGCTGAGTCGGTTTCAAAGAAAGATTGTAATAGCATATTACCAGACTTGAAACAAAAGTGTCATGAGTGAGTTGTCTAGGTAGAAGGAGCTCTGGTGAAGGATCTTTTTGCCAGCTGTTATTGTTGAACTTTGAAATTTTGAAAACTGAGTCAATCAGTATTTGTGAAAGAAATGAAAATAAACAAAGAAAATGAGGACGTTATTTCTTGTACTAGGACAGAGATGGTAGATCTGTTTTGTTTCTCATCAGCAATGTTTCTGACCTGATATATGACCCCTTGATGTTTTATAGGAGCTATTTCAGTAGCATATATTTGGGGGATGACAGTAGGACTGACAGCTTCACCACAAACACTTAATATGGTAACTTGAGTTGTTCATTTTTAGATGAAGTTGAAAAAAGTTTAAAATGTTGAAAAAGAATAAAGTTTCTCAAGCATTTTTCAAGTTGTAAGGATGTTTTGCTATGTGACTTGTTCTTCTGTCGATTGCTTTCTGTTTAACTTGAGATACCAAAAACTACCATCAGTGAAAGAGAACATAAAAATCAGAGGTGAAGAGGGAAAGTTTTTTGATTTTTTTGTTTAATTTGCTATACCATCATCCTTTTTGTTTTCTGAAAATGTTAATATAAGCAGTACTTCTGTTTAGTAATGTTTGCATTAAGAGCTTCTCTAACAGCCCCTGAAAGTATTTTATTTGGATTAGAGCTTTTATGTTATGTTACTTTGTATGTGGATTCTGTCCACAAGGATTTTAGCTTTCTGTAAAAGCATTGGTGGTTAATTTCTGGTATAACGATTAAATCTCTTACAGAACATCTTATGTCCGAGAATTGCTGATGTCATGACTATCATTCATTGGTTGCTATGGAAATTAAGTATGAGTGCATTCAATATTAATACTGCATTCCTGCTATGTGCACTTTCCTGATGGAAAAGTACTCGCTTTCTCCAGGAACACTAGCTGCAGCAATCCCTGTGACAAGAAATGCTCTTGGCAGACATATCCGGGGTACCCTCTTCCCTACTGTTCTCGAAGTCATCATCCACCACAGTATGGCTTAGGCAGTTCACATTGATTTTTGTGTACGCAGTTGTTGTGTGTCCCAGCCCTTGAGTGTGTTTGTGATAATGTGCTGTCATAGATTTGCAGATTCACTTACATAGGGCGAGCCCAGGCACTTCAACAGTATGTTTCTTCTCCTTTAGTTTGAAAGGGAAGTTGCTTTAAGAGATCCTGAAAGGTTGTTTATACCAGTGTGGGATTTGTGTTTCTGCTTTTTAAAGTGGTTTCCAGGTAATCTCTTAACTGTAGTGGAACAACAGAATTTAACAATGGTTTATTTTTCCTAAGTCCTGAATTCTGGTGTTTAAGTTTAATTTCAGACTCTTAACTAGTAGCTGTATTTCCTTTATTAAAAATTTTGAAATGTCACTTTTAAAATGCTGTTGCCTTAATAAGTTGAGCCAATATTTCAAATATAAGGCTGGGTTGTGATATAGTTACAGTTCGATACTTCTGTGTATATGTAAGCATACCAGAAAAGGTCTCAGTCTTTGAAGCAGTTTTTTGCCAATTTTCTTAAGGAAATATTTAGTTTTTTGATTATGTCCCATTAAAAGTCAGATAAATATTGTAGCATTGGTTAAATACAGCAGCCACGTGTATCTGCTCTCAGCCTGGCAGGGGAAAAAGTTTTTTAGAAATAAGCTTGAAGATTTTGAAGGAGGCCTACTGCTTAAGGGACACTTGGCTAAAAGGAGAAGAGGCCCACAGCGTTCTGATTATACAGCTGAAATTTATTTTTACAAGAAAGAAACTTAAAAGTAAATTGGCATATATAAGGACTTAATGTACCACCACCCCATCCTAGAAAAAGGAAAAAAACAAAGCAGGAAAAAATTCGAAATTGCCTGTAAAATATGCAAGGCCACTGATAACAATGAGCTTCTGGTTTCTGCAAAAATGGTGCAATGGCAAAAAGAAGGTTTTTTTTGATGGAGGACTGAAAGTGTAATGTGTAAATGCAAACAAAGCAGCTTTTGTCCTCCATATAATAAAGAAGTATTGTGTGACAGTGTAATTTCTTTTATAATTCAGAATTGATTGATGGTCAATGAGGTCTGTGGATTGTAGCCTCTTGGTGTGGGTAGATGCACTTGATATGTGTAATAATGTTCCCATTCACTGGGGTGGAAGCAGTGTTTGAAAACTGCAACTAAACTTGCTGTCTCCAGCACCAGTGGCATGACTGATTGCTGAAAGTTGGAGCATGGGACTTGAATAGAGGTTTGGCAACACAGGGGAAAATGGTTGTCTGTTTTGGAGTGTGATATGAGGCAATATTTACTCTGCTCTGTTTCTCCCTTTTCCAACCAAAAGGCAGGTTGCCAAGAACGGGGACTGAATGGTTTGGATCTTCAGTTAAAAACATTTCGTCTGCACCGGAGTAAATGAGATGTGCAGATAGCTCAGGAAATCTGAAAGTTGTCTTCTATTTGAATGATACTTAGTGGTTGTGCAAACTAGATGGCTCATTCCCTACATGTATTTTTTTTCTGTCCAGTAGAAACTTCAGTCTTATTCTGTCTGTATCACTCTATATCACTCTCTTTTTAAAGAGAAGTTACTAAACCCAAAACTTTCTCATGACAAGTATCTACAATGACAGAATTTCTGCATTTCTGGACTCTGGAATTTCCAGAGGAGTCATGGCACAACTGAATATCCATCTATGACAGTTGTTAATATACATACGTACTTCCAGACACATAGTAATTACATCTTTAGCTGTTACTATTTGTGTATTCTTAGGATTAAAATGTTCTAGTTTGTGTTTTGGAGAAATCAAGATATTGTGCAAGAGTTCCGCAAGCTCAGCTGAGGGAGTACAGTTGCTGCTTTGGCAGCTCCAGCATTCAATTGTAAGGCTTCAGCCTCACAGAGCTCATTTTCAAAAAGCTCTAAAGTGTCAGATCTCTTTTATTTACCTTCTAGTGTCTATGCAATTTATTTTTCAAGTTGTTCTCCAGCTGTGAGGGCTGGTTTAAATGAAATTCTCATAGAATTGTTCCATCCACATTTAACTCTGAAGAAAACGCTACATAGTGAGATTTAATGTTAAAGCCCTCTGTCACTTAAGATATTTAAACCTTTCAGCAGTTTAATGATATATAGAGTCTCCTTCTGGAGCACCTTACCTTGCATGAAAAGACCTCAACTTTCCAATTTCTGTTAAATCTTTAAAACAGTCTTGATTTTGTCCATGTAGTTGAATCTATTATGTTAATTTAAGACTGCTTCAGTATGGTGCTAACGAGTGAAATATTTTTGTTCATCTAGCTAAGTATGGTATCCTAATTAATGAAACAAAATCTAGGAGATTTCAGGTAACTCATGATAGAATATTCTGTTATTGAGTGGGACGTGTCAATAGATTATTAAACCTAGGTCACTACTGCATTACACGACACAAGTATTGGTTCTTATATTTTAAAACCACTTATTCACTCTCTAGCTAGCCTAGAATATAAATGCTGAATTGCATACAATTCACGTAAATCAGGGAAAGTTTTCTCTGACCTATAGCTCTTATTACAAAACTTCAGAAAGCTTTTAATAGTTTTGTTCAGGAGTTAAGTACTTTGAATAAGTATATGAATTTTTCTGAGAGAACATTTCCTTCCCCTGTCAAAAAGAACTATGATTGGAAAAGGTAAGGAAATTGGAAAAGTTAGAGCTAAAAGTTCCAGAAAGTTACAGAATGTAGAATTAAACTATCCCAGACACTACACTCTGATGTATTTCCTGCAATTGCTTTCTCTATAGGCTAATATTGTTCTGGGTTGTAAATTTGAAAGCTTTGAAACTTAAAGTTTCTATTCAGTGTTATTTTACTGGGGTTTTTTTTTGGTTTTGTTTTTGGTTTTTAAGTAGTGCTTGGTAAGATGAATATGCGTTTTTGAAATCTGCATATTTAAAAAACAAGTTAAAAAAAGTTTTAAAAAATCAAACTCCAACCTTTTTGTAAGAATGATGAATGTCTCTGTGTCCACTTAACAGCTTGTTGGTTCAATGAAGATAAACAATTTTGGTTTACAATTTAAAAAAAGGTAGGATAGAGGGGAAGGGAACAGGGAAAGATTTTTTTTTTTTCTGTTTGCAACATTGAAATTTCTTGTATTTGGACATGAACATTCGAATATATTTATTCATCTTACCGTGTAGTGTAACTCAGGTTTTGATAGTAAATATATTTATCATTATTCAAAACTAAGTTATTCACCATCATCCCTATATTGTTGTAAAATTTTCATGCTATGCTGGTAAAAGAAAAGACTGAAGCTCATTCTGAATAAGCAGGAAAATACAGTTTTCAGTACTTTTCAATTTCATATTTTCCCCTGAGTAAGGGAAGTCTGCCTTTCCCTCAAAATTCCTAGTTGTATTATGCTTTTCTGCTGGTGCTGGTGCACCACATTATATACACAGTCAAACCCTCAAATGCAGGTCTCAAAAGAAGGCTGGCAAAGTGCTGTTAGTGTCTGTCATCTCAGCTGTACTGAGATGAATTCAGAGCTTGGATTCATCAAACCCCTGGGAGTTTAAGGAACTAGTATTAAGCTTTTCTCTCCCTACTCTCTTTCCTGCAGTACTTGGGACATGTCGAAGTGGATGAATCCAGAGGAATGCATATCTGTGAAGATGCTGTGAAGAGACTGAAATCTGTATGTATATTTTTTTCATGACAAAGTTGGCTTTGGGGCTGTGAGTGTTACTGGAAAAGGTCTGTTCAGCAGCAGTGCCCCAGCTAAGGACTGAACTTTTGACCCATGTTAGGAGAACAGTTGGCTGGTTTGGGACCACTGCTGCAGTTAGGGGGACATGCTAATCTGATGATGAGAGGGAGAGTTACAACTGTTCTTTCTACTTGCAGAAACTATTTGCAAAACAAATGTGTAAATTCTCTGTGACCTTTCAGGCTAAGTTGGTACCCACATGGGACTTGAACCATTGTTTTTTAACAGCTTTCTCCCTCTCTCTCTTTTCTTCTCCCCCTCTCTCTCTTTCCCCTCTGTTGCCTGCCACTTTAATAGTGACTTAATTCACCATTATTATACAAAATATTACTTGTTTTAGGCTGCTTTTTTGTAATGCACTGCAACATTGTAGTCATGCATGAAATAATCTGGCTTGCATCTGCTCAAAGTGGCCTGAAGGCTGCCTAATTCTGATATGTCATAAGTGGGCTGCTCTTAGTTTGGCTTCTGTGAACGTTTGCTCCTGTAAATGGCACTCGTTCAAAGCTCTTTGTAGTTCTGTGGCTCATTTGAAGAGGTCTTGTCATCTCTTTCCTGAAGTAATAATACCACAAAATCCTGCGGAAATAGCAAACTCTAGAAAGGCAGGGATCAGTCTATCAAGGAACTGAGGCTATAACATCATTGAAAAGAACAGGAGAAAGGACATTAAAAATTTGAATTTTGAATGGAGATGGAGAACTGCAATCCTTGTCATCATTTCTCTTACATGTTTTAGCTATATATTCTTCAGTGTGCCTTCAGTGGAAGAAACTCTTGTATCCTTGCAGCTCAACAAAATCACTGGAAGTCCATCAAACACTTCTACTGCACTTTTGCTAACTTAAAATATCTGCTATTGGACGTCCCTTTTTTTTCCTCGCCAAATCTGAGAGCTCAAATGGCTTCCATCTAGACCTGTTCTTCCCTTCTTTCTAGCACACAGTGGAAGATTATAGGTTATCTTTTCTGCCTTCTGTTGTGCTGTAAAGTTTCTGAATTGGTTTAATGCTCTGATTAAAATCAAGTCTTTTCATTCTTTTCTCTCTCAGCTAATGTATAGCAACCTGCTAAAGACGCATCCCATCTGTTCCCATTCAGTCCACAGTGATTGGGGACTGATTTTTATTAAAAAGGGCCACACAAATATAAATTAATTTCTTTGTTTTCTGGATTTAGTTTATGTACCTAAAAGTGCAAATACTGACCACATAATGAATTGCATCCGTTTTTGTCCTTTTTTGGTTTTTGTTCTCTCAGAATACTTTCTGTTAGCAAACAAATACCACTGCAGTATCTACGTTGTGGAACTTCTCTCCTTCTCTTCCCTAGGGAGCTATGCTGTGAAGTAGCTGTTTTCTAGTTATAAAAATCTTACAAGTCCACAAGTCAGTTAAGAGTAGCTAAGCTTATAATTAATGAGACATAGTAAAAGCATAGCACCCAATTTCTTCTAGAATCTGGATAATTCCAGGATTATGGTTCTTGATCACATGAATTATTGATTCAAATGTCAGACTTGGATATCTAACTTTTACAGTGCATTCCCTGGAAATAAATAGTTTAATTTCTCTATTCTGTGCTATGTCATTAGTCCACATTGTCGATGGTGTGAATTCTACCCATTCTCCTAAATTAAACATTTTTCTTCAGATAATTTTGATTTTTTTTCTGCAGTTTGAAGTTTTTGATGTCTGTATATAAACTGAACAGAAGCTCACATCTCTTACAATTGCTATTTACATTGTCTCCTTTGTCAGTGTTGGAAGTTGAGAAGTAGAGGTGAAATTCACTTTGGGCCCCAAGAGGAAGATTCATGTTACTGAAAGTACTTTATATGTGCTGTAGTTGCTAGACTCCATCAGATCCAAGGTTCATTTGGAGCTGTTCACTGCAATTCAAGCCATGCCCCTCTCCCCAGCATGTAGTTTTTAAACCAGAGGCATTTCTTTAGGACACCACTATTGCTGAAAGCTCTTTTCTGTACAATATGCTCTCTTAATTTAGCAGAAGCCAAACACTGGGTAATGTTTCAGCATGCAAGGAATGTGGTAAGAAAACAGTTTGTTCTTCTGATAGTCTCTTTCTTTCACACTACTTAGTTATTTTAGTGGGCTTTCTCTTGATTTTGAAAGAATTACAAGTTTAAGGTGCAGTGCTCTCATACTGAAAGACTAGCTTAAGGGAAATTGGACTTCACTTTTTGTATGCTTAAACTACATCGAAATGTATCTCAGCTACTTCAGTCTTTCTTTTTTTCTCTGCAGGTAAGGTGTAGGTTTTTTAAATCCAGTCAATAAAAATGAGAATTGTTGAAATACTTGTGTCTTGTAGCTTTTAATAATTAAGTTCTGTCTGTCTTTACTTATTTTAATAGATATATTTTTCCCTCTTAATTCTTGCTCTACAACAGTTGGCAATTCATTTGGGGAACTGAAGGCTGTTCTTTTATAGTGCTGACTTCTGGATTTTAAAAAAAATTAATGGGATTTGTCAAGAATATAGAACAGTGTTAATCAGTTTAATTACTGCTTTGCTTTTTGAAAGAAAATATGCAAACAAATCTCTCTGTCTCTTTATCATGTGTAATAACCTTTCAGGGATTTTTTTATTACCTGTTCCTTTTATGTGGCATAATTATTTTTGAGTATTGCGTCTTGCAGAACCTGAAACCAGTTAATGGGTGAACATCTTATTCAGACATTGTTTAATTGACAACTGAGTAAAAGAAGCCACTTTAAGCTCGAGAATCCCTCATCCATGCTTGTATTCTGTTGTTACAGTTTTGTAGCTCTGAAACTGCACACCAAAAATACATAATTTTCTGTCAGATGAAATGGCACTACAGTCTCATTAATAGATTAGAAATCCATGTATTCAGCTATTAGTCTATTATTAACATGGGTTTATATTATCAATGGAGCTTGCATTTTTCCCTTAAAAGGGTATTACCAATGTAGCTTACATTTTTCCCTTAGTAGGGATATATTGCTAACTCTGTATACATTTCCTGTCTGGTAAGGTCCTTGTAGTTGGACACTAAGCTCTAAATGGTTTCTTCATAACCATTTAACTGAGTTAAAAATATTTAGTAACTTTAAGGGCCTTGTAAGTGTGTTCGACTCAGGTGTGGTAACATCATATAAAGACAAAAGTATACTCTCTCATGTCATATTTTTATTTTAAATCAGCTTTAGCTTGTAGTATGGTTTCTAACTTGCCACTTTTTGTTTTAAATGATGCATTTGTTTTAATATATGTTCTTGTTTTAGCAGGTAAAGAGGCATAATTTAATATTTTAAAATATGCATTAGTTATCTCTAAACTACATTAACTTAGTGTTGTTTAAACCCCATTTTGCATGATGCCTTTTCCATTAACCTTGTCTAGTTTATTTAAAAAAAAAAATCTTGTTTAACAAGCATTTTGCTGAGAGTAAAATTAACCATCACCTAAAAATGAGGTAGCTTCTGGTGAATCTCTTTAGCTTTTGCTGTCTTTAAAAAGCTGTTATTTAGTGTAACGCAATAGTCATTGCTCAACTTGGCAGCAGCATCCAACCCCTTCTCATTATGTACACTACATTGTGATTAATCCATTAGTTCCCCTCCTAGTGTTCAGCACATCCTGTCCAAATACAGAACCGTTCCTGCCTCCAAAAATTCTTAAGCTTTTCAGCTGACTGAACTTGAAGATGTTCTTTATGAGTTGACATGAATGTTGCAGATACTTGGTAAAACATGCCGTAGAAGGACATGGGGCAGAGAGGCACACAGCAGCAGAGGCCAGGAAATGCAAAGTCGAGATTGACACTCCCTTCTTAACTTTGTGTTTCCTGGCTTTTGTTGACTTGCGTCAGAACCATAGCTTTGTTTTAAATATAACCTTGTTTATCAATCAATTCTGGAGACACTGCCTCAGGATATTTGTGATAATATTTTTAATATAATATTATCAGTGATCAACAGGTTGGAATTGCACAGTGTAAATGTGGGGTCAGGAGCTGTCACAGAGATGCTCCCTGTCTCATCTGCAATTCTCCACCTCCTCTTCATTACTATTATACAAAAGCTTTCTTAGAAGTGAAACAGTTTGAAAAGATAGCAGGAACAGCTCTATGCTTCATGTCAGCTTCCCTCAAACGTGGAGCAGCATGTGGCTGTGCTCACAGAGCACCGGGCCTGGGGAAGTGTTCTCTCAGCCAATCGGTTCAGATCTTCTAGTTTAATTTCCACAATCTGATAACAAAATAAAGCTGGTAAACTAAACTGCATGCAGATTTGCTTAAAATTGCTTGCTGCCCTTTTCTTAATGCAAACATAGCAAGCAGTATAATCGCTTCCAGGCTGAAGAAATTTAGGAAGTTGTAATTCAGCCCTTGGTATCTTTGCACTTGTCTGTCTTTCCCCTGTCTGAGCTGACTTGAAAGACTGTTCAGCCTATCCATTCAGAGTTGTAGAACGAATAACTAGTATTTGTATAAATATTACATAAAGTCTTGGAAGGCTTTAGAGAAAGAGGAAGGGCTCTCATTTGTGTTTTAGTTTTACCACAAGGTAACATGAAATTCTTCATTCTTCGATGAGGACTGCATAAGACGTGAAGCGTAAGAGTAGTGTGTAAACCAGAGCAACAAATAAAAGGACTAAAATGAAACAGTATTTACCCTTGCTTTATAACAGCCATACGTGCTTCTCCAGCTTACAGAGCATTTGCGTGGGAAAGAGCGATCAATACAGAGCAAACTTGACTGCAGTTCTGGAGTTAGAACTCTGCATTTCACAAGAGCTCATACAGTATTTTAATTGTTTAACCACTGTGTCTGCTGCCAAGTTTGGTTTATAACCTAACTAAAAGGGACTAAACAAGGGAGAGCGAAAATAAAGTAACCACTTTGCATGAAATTGGGGCTGAGGTTTTCTTCTTTCCACCAATTTCAGGGCAGTAGCTTGTTAGAATTGTGTGTGTGCCCTTTGATCTGCATTTTCATGGGATTATTTTCACATTTGCCTGTCGCACCTTCTCATGGATAACTCTAAAACCCCCTTCCTTTCCCTCCAAACCCTATTCTTGTGTGTGCTTGTTGGTTTGAAAACCCTGGGACATTTTAGCTACCTACAGTAATAGCGCTCGACTTGTCCCCCCTGTTCCTCCAGGAAAGGAAGTTCTTCAAAGGCTTCTTTGGAAAAGTAAGTTTAATGCCTTGTTTGTGCTTGCACTATAAGGAGTTACATCCCTGGTATAGCACTGTTGAGAGTTCCCAAATCCATTTCAGAATATTTACTTCTAAAACAGACTTGGGTTCAAAGTAAGAATATGGTCTAAAAAGTAACCTGAAACAGAAACTTAAATCTCTATGAACTGTATTGGAGATCCAATGTTCTGAAGTGATTTGGTCTTCCTGAAAAAAAATTAAAATTTTCCTTTTAAACCCTTAAACTTATGCCAACCTACATCACCTGGGCAAATACCTACAGAACAGTTGAGGTCTGTGCCTTGTAAGTGCTTCGTTCTCAGCTTCCTGACACCATGAGTTGGTCCTCAAATGTTAGCACTGGGAGAAAGCAGTGTGCCATCTCTTTAAACCTTCCTTTTTTGAGGACAGTCCTATTTCAAAGGTATATGGAGATGAGACCAGGCATTTACCTACTATGTTCCCTAATTTCAACTCAGTTTACAGTTTCTGTCATTGCTCTTGTTTTCACGAGGACAGTGTCTTATACAAGAAGAGAAGCAACTCTTTGTCCTTATTAAGAATGTGCTTTACTGTTGTCTGGGTGGTTTTATTCCTGCTGTCTACATCTCCACGAGGCAGAAAGACCGCTCTCTCTTTTCCCTCTCATCTCTTTCCTCCCTCTGTGTTTAAAATTTTGTAAAGCATTTTAATTTAGCTTTCATATGGAGTTAATCTAAAATACGGCTTCTGAAGTATCTTGTTATAAAATGAAACTTTGCTTAAATAGAAACTAACAGGTTTGTAACATCCATGCATACTGGAGTCTTTTGAAGATTATTCTGTGGTCTCAGATTTGTTTTGGCTTTGCCTGGGGAGTAAGTAAGGTTTTTTCAGCTGCTTCTTTTTCACTGTTCACTCAGTTAGTGATGCGTGTCACACAGGGACAGCTGTTTCCCCAATTCAGTTTTCTTCCTATGATCTAGGAAAGCACACGTCTAAAGTGTAGTGATGGTGAGGGGCTAAAATACAGTAGACGGCAGATCTGTCAGATTAATGAGATCATTCCTATGCACAAATGAAATTTAAGAGCTGGAATCTACAAAGACTGGAGTCAAAACATGCTGTTTGCTTTCGAACCCAAAATGCTAAATTGAAAACAAACAGAAAAACCCCTACCTCAACCTGATCAGATATGTTAGTTTTCTCTCTGCTTGTTGTTATTAACTTATGTTAGGATACATGAGAGAGCAAAGATGTAAAAGGACAGATATTGGCATAGCACTTAGATAAAAATCTTTCTTTGACTTTTTAAATTTTTAAATATGCCATCTTCCCTATTACATCTTAGTTGCTTTCTTAATGAAGTCTGATACTTTACTACATCATTGTAGATTTGCTTTGTCTTATATTATATTTTGACAAAGAAGGACCTACTTCTACTTCAACCTGTGAATTTCATTAATTAGCACTGAAATCACTTAAATCCACAGTGTTTAGATATCCCCACAGCACCAGTATGGCAGTACCTTTTTTATAGCTTTGGCCTACAACAGTAGCCTGCATCTAGGGAAATCTGCAAAGAAAGGGACAGCTGTTCTCTTATTAATAATTGAGAAATACTAATAACTCTAATATCTTTTGGCTGTCTCATCTATAATTTCTCCCCAGATGCCTTGCATTGGGATTAATATAATATTCCAAACTGCAGAGCTGCTTAAAACATGCTAACAGCCCTCAGAAAGTCAGTCTAGACATGTTTGCTGCTTTTCCTGTCCATATTTTTCTCCTCATAAAAGGTAAATCTGATAGATTTGTGTCTGGAAATGTACAATTGTTTATTATTGAAAATGATTTTTTTTTCAACTTTAAATAAAAATGAGATGTCTGTTAGTAGCTCTGGGTTAGGCTTCTGCAGTTATCAAATAAGATGCCTTTTTAGGCAGCTCTTCATCTTTTTAAACTAAAGCTTTTCTGTTGAAAAGTGTAGTAGTATGGATTTGATGATCTTTCTTATGTTTTACTTCCACTGAGTGTGTGTATTTCTCATCACACAGTATTTTATATGGAGTCTGAAATGAAAAAAAAATTCTTTATATATACCTCAGACTCCACATATATCTTAGAACTGTTTCTAAGTCCCAGGACAGAATAAAATAGGCAGAAATACTAGAAACAATGTAGATATGTTTTAAAAATGCATTATTGAGCAACTTCAATTGTGCTCTGGTGTCCTTAAAACTTTATTTTCCACCTTACAATAGAGTAGCCACTTTTTGTTTGGTGGATGCCCATCTCTAGGGCATTGCCAGCTTGTCAGTGAGGTTTCCTTTGTGCCCAGCCCACCATGGTCCTGCTTTGCCTTTGGGCCTGGAAGAATGAGTGCCTGTCCTCCCTCCTGGAGATGTCTGAGGACTCTGAAATTAGTCCAGATAATGAATCTTGTATTGCAGCAGGTTAGTGACCTCCCCAGAAGTGCTGAGCAGAGATGTTTCTATTGGTGCTGACTCAGCACTGACAAATCAGGCTTCCAGGAGTCGGTTCCACACATGGCTCTCCTCAGGCAGTGTTGTCATCCAAAAACTCTGGAATTCATATGAAGACAAGCTACTGCTCTGGATCTCTAGATGAGGTAGCAACATTTAGGACCATACCATTCCAGTGGATATTGGCTATTTGCTTTAAATATTTGTATTTGGAGTTGCCTATACATTTCAGTGTTTATTACACAAGCTACGGTTCTGCAGTGGAGTTTGCTTTCCATGCAGTATCTTGTATCTGGTCTGATCTTTGTCCAGTATGTGCCAGAAGTGCAAATGCTCTTATCTGCTTTGTAATCATGATTTACTGGGCGGTATCCCGCCCATAATGGAGTAGTACTTTGATTTGTATATCCAATATAAACTGATTTGGAGAAGTATGTTCCTTTAAACATCACTGGGAGGCACAGATAAGCTGCAAATTCAGTAAACGGGAAAATCATTCATTGCCCAACTATAGTAGCAGTGGGTTTGGGGTGTAGACTGTGAGCTCTTAACACTTAGCACTGCATCCACCATCCATAAATCTAAAGGAATTGGGAGATGAAAGTATGTTTTCTTTTTCCCTTAATGTAGCAAACCCATGTTAGGTTATCTTGCATGTGGAAACTTATGTTTCCGGTGGGAAGAGGGGACTTAGAAAGCCCTTTATTCTTTTCATTTTATTCTGAGAAACATGAAGTTCCTAGTGTTAGCTATTTCTAAATCCTCACTTGGTAAAATAGCAGGTGAGGAGTAGCACTGCTGAAGATCATTACTGTTTTGTGAAGTACCCAGCTCAGTTAAACCTGACTTTAATACAAACTTTAGGAACTGTTCACAGTTTCTGTAGGAACAAGATTTTTATTGTTTACTGGTGAAAGATGTGTAGCTCTTGTTCTAATGATGGTAATCTAAACCAGTTACCTGCAGGCATTATCTTCTCTTGATTGTATTTGCTTGAAATAAAGATCTTTAAGACTATTAATGGCTATAAGAAACTAATACTCTTTTTAAAACAGTTCAAGGAGACAGACCTCTACAAACCATTTGTTTTGGAAATAATAGGGACTTTTAGGCTATGGGAGCTATCTGAGCATTGAAAATACAGACTGTATTTTGTGAGTATTGATACTTACTGCCTTTTGAGACCAAAATTAGAAGTGACTTTTAAATGCTGCAATATTTTTAACACAAATGATGGTAAATTTAAGTACATATTCCATTAGGAATTATAATGTTTCCATTAGGCATTCCAGATTCTGAATGAAACCTTTTCTGGGTTACCCACCCACACTGTATGGTCATTTAGAAACTGGCTTCTGCAAGTACATCTCTGTAGTTTGCTTTCATGCTGTGCTTATTTTCTTTCTTTTCTCTTTAAACGCTCTTCTGTGCAAGTCAGTGCCATGCTCTGTTCTCATCAAGCTTTTTGAAAAAGCCCGGGGTGTCATTGCTGCTTCCAAAATGGGGACAGATAGTTCCTCCCCAGAAAACAAAAGTTCTGCCAGGCCCTTTTTCTTCACACTTGCTGCTTTCTCTGAGAATGAAACCAATGTGATATAATTGGAGACTTTTCATTCCAAGATAATTCATCCTTACAGTGTTAAAATTGGTGTTGCAGACTTGGAACATGCAGTAGCTTATGTCAGAATGTGTCCTTGTTCCGTTACTTGTTGAAAGAATATAAATTATATATATTTGCAATACACTATTAAAAAAATTATTAAAAAGTTGCAATTCTTGCTTCAAGCCTCTAGCTGATACCCCTTCATCTTTTTTTGTTGTTGTTGTTGCTTTCTTCACTCCCTAGAGTGGTCTCTGGTGGGTGCCATTAGCAGCCACAAACATGTAAACCCAGTGCTTCAAAAAACATTATGGGGAGAATATTTTATTAACTGGTTAAAGTATGGGGCTTGTGAATTAAAGTAACATGCTAAAAAAAAACCCAGCTATTTTTCTAGTAGTAGTTCTCAGTAACAACCAGTAGAATTATGTTGACCTATTTTGTTTTGAATTAATTAGTTTCAGAAGAATACGGTATTTATACTGTTTTCTGTAACTTTCCCTTGAAAAGTAAACAATCTAGAAAGAATCTGTAATTTAAATGGCTCCTGAAGCCTTCCTGTGTTTCCCACTTTTACTTACCCTCAGCTTGCAACAGCTGAAAGTTCCCACAGTTGGGTCTTGGATAAAAGCCAGACCTCTCCTCTGCTGTATCAGACTGCCACACACCATTGCTTTTTCAAGATACACAGCAAATGGTTAAGAAATCGTATTTTTCTACCTCTCTTCCAAGATTTGACATTTAGCTATTAAAAAATTAGTGAAACATGTTTGGATTATTGATCTTAGCGTTAGGCTTATGAGCTCGGTGAGTTACATAGTACCTGATGATTTTAGAGTGCTTTTAACACTGGTTTAAGGTGATGCTATGATTCTGCCATGTGACTATTGGGGCAGAGGGTAGGGCTGGTGGAAATATCAGGTAAGAATTTTCCTGTGTTTAAACTTGTGCTAAAGAAGCTACCTGTGGTGTAACTCCTTATGAATTAGTGTCTTCTGACTCTAGTGGAATTTTTCACCCACTTGGTCAGTCTTGAATTCTTTACTGTCAATGGATGTACACCTTATTTTTGCCTCACCTGTCCTGTGCCCTCTCCCCATCCCCACGATGTGCTGTTTCTGAAATACTGGCTTTGGCTTGGTTCTCTGAATGTTTTGCAACTTGGATTGAGCTTTGGGCACCCTACTGACCGTGGACTTCATCTACACTTAATGTTATGGTTCTTGGAGAGGGGAAGCAGGTGGCAGTCTGCTGTTGGCATAAAACTTTGTTTTTGTTTTTGTTTTTTTTCTTTCCTTTTTTTTTTTTCTTGAAAGTCTGGGAAGAAGGCCGTCAAAGCAGTCCTGTGGGTTTCGGCAGATGGACTCAGAGTTGTAGACGAGAAAACAAAGGTTAGATTTCCCTGGGCAAAAGTTTTAAATCTCTCTATGATAATGTATGTGCTATATCTTCAAATGGACACCAATCTCTATGTTAATGCAAATGTTGGTATTTGAAAGGAAGACTGAAGTGTGTAATTAGTTTAATCATTTCTTGCTTTGTAAACATATGTACACCTGCTAATTTTTTTCCCAGTTAATTCCACACTATTCTCAAGACACATTTTATAAAACATGGCAAGTGTAGCACAAGCTTGGAATATTTTTTGTTGCATTTACTGAAAAAAACATATTTTTCCCCAGTAAGTTCTGTTGACAGAGAACTTGGGGAGTCCCTTGACTTTGTTCTGCACCACTGCAGAAGGTTGCAATAATAATACATAGGCAAACTCACATTAATCAATATAATATATATGTAAATCAATATAATTTCCAGTGCATCCAAATCCTAAAATGGGTCTGAAAGAACAAGAGCTTCCAAGAATGCAATGAAGAGAGTAAATTAAATAGGGGGGCTGTGCCTTTCAGACTCAAGCTAAATAGTATCTGAGTATATCAAATTTGATAGTCTCTAAGTCTAATATCTAAGCTGTTGGTCTGAAGTGGAAGACTGATGTATTTGTGGCATCCTTCTAGATTATTTTACAATTTTTTTTATTGTGAAATTACATATTTTTTTTTGTGAAATAACAGAGTATGTACCACCAAGGCACCTGTGTGCAAGTAAGAACAAATGATTCTTGGTTTTATGTAGATGTAGGCAATTAGAAATAAGAGCTTTAGGCTTCCTACTACAAATGCTCTAGTATTTTAAAAGATGACGTGGCTATCAGAACAGTTTTAACTCTTGTCAATCTGAAATAATTTGCTTTATATACATATAATTAACACTTACTTTTGTCAACCTACAAGATATTTCTACAAGCCAGCACTGGCAGGCAGAGATAATTCATGTCCCTCTGCAGTACTGCCTGTCAAATATCTGCTCTGTGGCTAGACTTCTCCAGGGCTGCCATTATGGAATGCTTCATCAGGGCTAAAACTGCCATCTCTCAAGAATTCAGTTTCTAATACAAACATACTGATGTGAGTGAACTCAGTCTACTGATTGCCTCATTTAAAAGTAATAATACGTTATTTTTAGAAACGTTGCTGCATATATGTAATATTTTCAAATTGACTTTTAATAAGATGTGCAGACTCTGGCGTTAATTAAAAGTATGAAATTTAAAAAGAGAATATACTATTGCCTCCTGGTGGTTCAATACATCAGCAGAGGTGCCAAGTACTAGCCATCAAACAAAAGAAACAATTTTGAAAAAAGTTGATAAAATAATTTTTAATGAAGATGACATAGTCTATTGGAAAATGTGATCTGTTCCTTTTCTTTCTTAAGGGAACAGATTCTGAATGGTTACTTTGTTGACAGATAATTAATAGCCAGATCAGGTTACCCTCTTTTTACTATAAGTCATCTTTGTGCAGTTACTACTAAAAATTACTTGTTCAGTGTTTTTCCGTATTTCCTCACATTTCTTTTATTGTGGGGGGGATTTTTTTCCTCTAGGATCTTATAGTTGATCAGACAATAGAGAAAGTTTCTTTCTGCGCACCAGACAGGAACTTTGACCGGGCGTTCTCATACATCTGTCGAGATGGCACAACGAGACGCTGGATATGCCACTGCTTTATGGCTGTGAAGGACACGGTAAGTTTAACGTGGTGTGTGCCCAACTCTTCTAGCTCATAGCTAGAAGTAATGGTCAGAAAAATTGAGTACCTGGAATACTGCAATATATTTTGACTCCAACTGGAATGTTACTTACTCCTTGAAAATCATTTTAGTTCTAATTCCCTATATCTGAATTATTTGCCATTGCTCTGTGGTGTCGTCTTGTGGAGAGAAATGGTGCTCAGCATGTGTATAAAAGGAATGCAGTCAGCCTCAGCTATCTCCAGCAGAAAGGAACTACTCTTATAAGAATAGATGGAAAATTTTTTCATCTGAAAATATTTACAGCCAAAAACTGAAACAGCAATGACAGTTTTTCCAGGATAAAATCAAAGTAAATACAGACTGGTTATGAATGCAGTCTCTTGTATGCAAGTGTTTTCTTGAGTGAAAAGTCATCCGAATTTTAAGGAATGGAGCTAAACTGAATTGAAGCATTCTGTTTGCTTCTAGAGGTGTTTTGAGTGGAAGGTTTAAAGCAAGTTACCTCTATCAGTTTCTTGCTGTGTAGACTTAAGTAAGTTATTTAACTCCATCATCTGGCCTTTCCCTCTATCTGCTTTTTGTTGATTCCTGCCTTTATTATACAGAGTGCTTGAAACCTCATGCAAATTTATTGTGTGAACTCCACAGAGCTGCACATTCAGAGTAGTGGTACTTGACAATTTATCGTTTCTCTTTTAACAATTAAGTTAGAAATTCCCAGTAAAACTTAAGTTAGAGCTGGAACATTTCTATTTTCCTCTGTGAATAACAGGTCAATTCACTTACTGATTATGATAGATGAGTTGAGCTACTGGTAGCAATAGTGCCTCTGACTCAACTGTCACCGCCGTATCAGCTGGGTTGCTGGACTTCCTCCGACTTGAATTTCCTTTCCTTATTGCAGTTATTGGATAGTGGATCCTTTTAACCTCACTGGTGAATAATGGAAGTGCTTTTCAGAAGGCACTCTTAACTTGTGCATTGGGTCAGGGCCATTAAGAGGTGTAAGTAGTCACCACTGTACTTTTAATTTTCACACCTGCACACAAAGGTTGTGTCTCCCTGAGCCCTCTGTAAACTTGCTCCAAGAATAGCACTCATCTGTCCTTCAGGATTTACACCTTAAGATGGCTTCAGGAGAGTTTCTTTGTGTACAGATGTATCCAGAGGCAAGCGATCAATGCAGGCACATTATCACACTATCATCTTAGTAACAGTTGAACTAAACAGGTTATCCAACAGTCTCCTTCATTCCTGGGTGGCCTTCTTGAACATGGCTTGTGCATTAGTAGTTGGGTGTCTTTATATACCAGCTTTAATTTAGAGCCATACTAAAGACGACCAATTACAGTAGTTCTCTTTAATGCCTGAATTAGATGCGTCTTATAAAGCCAGGTTATGACTTTGCGATGTTTCTGTTCCAGTTACTGTGTGACGCAATGTTGTCTTGTGCAGGGGGAAAGGTTGAGTCATGCCGTGGGCTGTGCGTTTGCAGCATGCCTGGAGCGAAAGCAGAAGCGAGAGAAGGAGTGTGGAGTGACTGCCACCTTTGATGCCAGCAGAACCACATTCACTAGAGAGGGGTCATTCAGGGTCACTACAGCTACTGAACAAGCAGAGAGAGAGGAAATTATGAGACAGATGCCGGATGCTAAAGGTACGAGATACAACTTAAACAATCATCTATAGCGAGCAAAACCAGCATTGAGGCCTGTGCAAGGATTTAGGCTCAACATCCGTAGAGCATTCCCTCTCTTGAACCTTGCTATGTTCAAACAATATTCCCAGACTTTTGCCACTTCACAGGATGCAAAAATTGCTCCCAGATTCACTCAGAGCACATTTTCCCATATCCCTTCTAGAAAAGGTGCAAGTGGCTTCATATGTGAAAACTGCTTCTGCTTTGTTTTGTCAGCCTGCTTTATGGCAGAGAACACTGTAGGTACTATACTAAAAGGCTTTATTACAAAATTATTATAAAAATAGGACAAGTTTGCCAGACACATCTAAAGCTTATGGTAAATGAACAGAAAATGAAATGCATTTTTCTTAGAAAAGAATGTAATTTTTAAAATATTTTTATGGCAGATTACAGAGCGTGTGTATAGAATAATACTGCATAGGGGAAGAACAGAGTGCTTTCTAAAAAAAAACCAGAACAAAACAACCACCCCTTCCCAATAAAACACACAACTGTTACACTGTTAATTACATTCAAAACTAATAACTAACTGATTTTAGAGGAGTTAGTGTTCTGAAACTGAAGTGTAGAACTTGTTACACAATTTTTATTATAAGTAGTGGAGTTCTACAGCTAACAAAAAATAAATATTATAAATATTGTTCATAACTCTCTTTACAGTGGAGTCAAACTTTTGTTTCAGAGGATTTCACAGCAAGTTTTATGCTGCCCCTCGATTGCAAAACTTTAATCTTTGTTTTCGTCATCCATCTGCTTGTTCCCGTACGTTAGTTTTAGAATGTGCTAAATGAAGCTTAAACACAAGGCCTTTGTTACTTGAGGGCATGAGTCAAAATCTTGACTCAATGAAGGTGTGTGAAATCCTTTCCAAGAAAGACTGATTAGAAAAGTTTCACTTGAACGAGCAGCTGCAACTCACGGGTACTGAAGCTTGCAAGACAACATAATTAGTTCCTCCTACCATTCCAGCTCCTCAGAAATCTCTAGTCTGACTCCTCTCTTTATCAGATTTCTAGTTGTTCTGCTGATATGTCAAAAAAAAGTAATTGTTTTTCTTAAAACGTTTGGAAAACGATATAGGTAAAATAAGAGTTCATACCAGCATAGTGAGATTTCCCCTTGTCCTGCTGTGTTGATGATCCCCAAAGCCAATTCATTTATGAGTGAGAGAGAGTTCTCCTAGAGATGGAAAACTCCCCATTGCTATTCTATTATTTTCTGGAGGAGCTGGGGAACTGCAGCCTGAGCGCTGAATGCAGTCTAACTTGTTAAGTGCTGCTGCTACCTTTGGCCTGCTAAAGCTTGTGCAGTGTGTTTGGCTGCTGCTGCTGATTCTGCAGGGCTGGCAGGGTGGCTTTTGAAAGAAGGTGCTAGAGCTGGGTTCTGTTCCCTGTTGCTGCTGAGCTATGGCACCCTAAGTCACTTAATACAGTTTGTAGTAATATTTTGGCCATGGTTCTGTGTGAGGGAAAGTAGAGGTCTCAAACACACCGTACATTTTTTAGTCTTACTCATAAATGAATTGCAAGTATTTTTAGAGCTAGAGTCTCAGGAACAGCTAGAGAGAATACATATGTAAAGCTAGCATTTCTGGGAAGTGGCCTTAGTAAGCTGTGGAGCCTGGATGTATGTAAAGTGACATGGTGGAGGCCATGGAGTTATATAGAACTGAGTTTTCTGCTGTGCTGTTGGAAACTCATTTGGTAGAGTACTGGTTATGCAAATTCTTGGAATTTCTCTTTTCAAAACAAATGGGAATAGGGGCAGGCAGTTGAACAGTTCTTTGCTTTACTTTTCTAACCTCACCCTGTTTCCTCCAGCAGTTGAAACAGAAGTGAAAACAGTAGCACCAGGTGCTGCACCAAACAATACTGCCCCCTCTTCTGGCTCACCAACCTCTCCTACTGCTGAAGTTGCTGCCTCTCTGGATAAAGAAATGAGCAATCCCCACGCTATCCCACGGAGACATGCCCCTATAGAGCAGCTTGCCAGGCAAGGGTCTTTCAGGGGCTTCCCTGCCCTTAGCCAAAAGATGTCTCCTTTTAAACGCCAGTTGTCTTTGCGAATAAATGAGCTGCCTTCAACAGTGCAAAGGAAGACCGATTTCCCCATGAAAAACTCAGGTAAAACCAAATGGTTCCAGTGAAACATTAGCTTATATTGTCTGTTCCTCCTTTCTTTCTCTGTGGCTTCAAATAACTCCTTATTTTCTAGTAAATCCTTCTTCTTCGTGTTATCACTTATCATGAACAAACATCGCTATGTCACAAAAATTCTGCTTTTTGAAATAGTCAAGAATTTCAAATGCACTGTCCACATGCAGAAGACAAAATGTTCTAATCACTGTCTGAAATACTGGATCACAGCTTGAAGTGCTCCAGGAATGGGTGTTGGTGAATTAGTAGGTGCTGGCTCTTCCCTCTGAGTCACTGAACCAGTTCTTCCACTTACTGTCAGGGCATCCTGAGAGACAAATCCCTTCAAGGCCTTAACCACTTGTCAGAGGATCATGTGATGATTGTCTGTCCTGCCTGTCTGAATTCTTTCTGAGAACAATGAAATTGCTTTTCACCTTGCATTAAAAGAAACTTAACTGTTTAAGTTGTACAGTTTCCATGTGATGGTAGTGCGGTTTTCTAAAGTCATCCCAACATAAACACCTGGGATGCTCAGTACCTTGCCTAATGTCCTAGAGTTCCCTTAGCTAGGTTATCCTGGAGGCCAGCTGTACTCTCACTTGGCAACAGGGCTCGTTTTGGGATTCTAAGCTTTGAAGTAAAAATCATTGTGGCAAAGGCAAACTCAACAAAAAAACTTACTCTGACTCCTTGTTTAGTGACCTGTGCTTTAAGACCAGCACTGAGTTGATCAGTTTTACAACAATAGTGCATTACTCACTAGTGATATTCAATGAGCACACTACTATCTGAATTTTTCATGATTCAGAACAATTATGATGCATGTTTCCATATATGCCACTGCCAGTGCTGCTTACTGTCACACTACATGCACTGTATTGGACTATCCCTCAAAGAAACAATTTTTGGGCATGCCTCCCCCTATGTTTTAGGTATGGTGCATGTTGAGTCCAGCCATCTTACGTTTCTTACACTATTTGTGCTTGATTATGCCTGCTTATGTCAGTTCTGTGCAACGAAGGACTGATGATAGGTACTTTTGATAAACAATGCAATTAGTAATAATCAAAACATCTGGTAAGCTGGCAGCTTTACTCCAGATGTTACTTTATCCACATGATGCTGATACTTGGTTTAAAACTGAGTGTCCATTTTATTTGAGCATTCAGCTTGTGCTTTTATGATTCTAGCACAGGAGCTGGGGATTTCGGCTACTGCTGAACTGGAACAATCAACATTCTAACTCCAGAATTAACTTGCTGCTCTGCATTGCTGTCAGCACATTTAAACTTCATGTAGTTACTGTAGAAGTATGTTGTTGGAACACTTAAATCTATCATAAGTATTTTTATTTCACAGAGTGCCAAATCTTAATACCAAATCCTTGATATTTTTAGCACTTTAATTCTGAAAGATTTAGATCTCTACTAAAGCTATAGAAAACCCTTTTACTTCTGCTATGAGCATCCTTTAAATTTGGAATGGTGATCTCCTTACTCTTTTGACTTAGTCACAAAATACACTAATGTGGTGTTCTATTTCAGGTCAGATCGTCAACACTAATTTTAAAAAAAGCTGTCGTGCAAATCAGTAGCAAGACCATCTAGGACATAAGGGAACTAATTATATTTCAGTTTCACATTGGTATTTGTAAATTGTTTCTGTATCCTTTAAACTTCCCATTTAATGAATTCTGTTTACATTTTAGTCCCTGAGGTAGAAGGGGAAACAGACAGCATTAGTGCCCTGTGCTCTCAGATCACCAGTGCTTTCAGCACACCCTCAGAAGACCCTTTCTCTTCGGCCCCCATGACAAAACCAGTGACAGTAGTCGCACCACAGTCTCCTGCCTTTCAAGGTTTGTGATTTCTTTGCGTGCCGCGGTCACGCTGGATTAGGCTTGAACGCACAAAATGTTGCTTTCCAGTAACACGTGGTCTTAATTTCTTGTGCAAGTCCTGTTTACTAGTATTTTAAGTGAATGCATCCGGCTTTTTTCATCCTGTCTGTTTAGTTTTTCTGTGGTTTTGTTTGTAACAAAAAATTCATGCACCTACCACACGATAGTTACCTGTAAAAGGGACTGGCATTGAGATAATGGCTATTTTAACATTCTGCCTCCTGAACTGCAAAAACCTTACCAATTGTGTGTCATAGGAACCAAATCTCACAAGAGAAGAGATTTTGTGCCACCACAATTACTATTTTTCACACAAATTCTTAGATAAGTTGTGGAGAGATAGAACTCATAGCAGCTGCTAATCTTCATTTCACTGCTGTGCTTTTATGCAAGTTGTGTGAAAAAAAGAACCACTCCATGTTAAATGTGGTTATTGTTACCTTGTATCTAAAATGTGTTCTTTTGAATCTAAAATTAACCATACAGTAACTTCTGGTGAACCCTCTCTCTTCCTTATAAAAACAACAAATTTAACCTCCGTTGGTCATCATAATTCAAGGCCTCTTAAAATACATAATTAATTCTCAATCCCACAATTCTCTTCACAAGTGTTGGCTTGGTGAAATGGAATTTACTACTTTTATTGACTGTCAGTCCAGTTTGGCTAATTTACACAAACTGCTGTCATGTGGAAGTGTCTAAAATTGTTGTATGTTGATAGGTATGACCTGGCCCACTAATATTCCAGTCACGTGCATGCCTTGCATGAATTAATCGCACTGATGTTGTCTGCTCCCATTTTAGTTAATGGCACTGCCTCTGCCTTCTGTGTGCTTGCTGCTAAACCATCCCAAGCTGCTGTAGTGTCCACAGCTATGCCAGTTCGTGAAACCAATCCTTGGGCTCATGCTCCTGCTGCTAATACTGGAGCTGCAGCCGTGGTCACTGGTAAGATTGGAAGTAGATCCGGTGCACTGCTATAAGAACTTGGATCAAAAGCATAATTAAGCCCTTGAGACAACTGTCAGTGCCACTTAATGGCAAGTGGAAGGAACAGGAACAAAAGACGGAAGTAGTAGCCTTTTGCACGAGTGGATGGAGGGAAGCGATGAACTTGCTGGTTCTGGGTCTATAATTTGGACTGATTCTTATTTTGGCAGCATTTTAGAAAATTCAGTGCCTAAAAAGGAAGTAATGAAGTTGCATATGTGTGTGTGTGTATGAAGGGGAAAGAATCGATGTGTACCCAAATTAATTTTTGTGTATTCTTTCCACTAACGTACATAAGGAGGGATTAAGTTGGTTGCTTAAAGGCTTTAGAGATTCATTTCCCCTGTTTAGTAAGTTTAGTCTGTTCTTCCAGGCCTTGTCTGCAGTTATACACGGTGTAGGGAGGTGCCTGAAATGGCTGCCACCCATGTGGACATGTGTTGTAGCAGGCTACAATCTTAACTAACATAATTTCCTGGTGTAAGAGCCACTTGACAAGAGAAACTTTGCTAGTGAAGTAGTAGGTTCTGCTTGGCCTCGTAAGAGCACCAGACTTCGTCTTTAAAACAGTTTCTATAGCTTTGTGTTCTAAGTCCACCAGTCCTGGCTGTACATTCAGCAACTGATACTCCCCAGTCAGATGAACTACTGGTTATGGACTAGATCACTGCCACCAAGTTATGAGTGCAGGCTCATAACTGCATGCTCTTCTGCGTGCCCTAAAGTCTCAGATGTCTCCTATGAAGAAAAATACCCATAAATCTGCATTTTAGCAAAAAAACTCTTGTCTACCCCTTCTTGATAAATGTCTTCCTAGAGCAGAACAGTGCAGTGGATGCATAAAGATGCTTCCAGTGTTGGTAGCATCTTTCAGTCATGGTGGGAGGAGGCCTGTCTGTCCTTGTGTATACCCTCCAGCCTTTCTAGCTTATAAAAGAGTGAGGAGTGGAAATATCAGTGACTTGCCCATGCTTTTCTTCCCAGGCACTGAATGGAGCAGCACCTCCTCAGGTGCAGCCTCACCAAGTCTCTTCCAAGGAAATCACAGACGTACTCCCTCAGAGGCAGACCGCTGGTTGGAAGAGGTCTCAAAGACTGTGAGAGCCCAACAGCAGCCAACCTCAGCCCCAGCCCCACAGCCACTGCTCCAGCCTCCTCCAGCAGCTCCAGCTTCCCAGTCAGCACCAGCCTTCCCAGTCAGCACCTTCATCGCACCTCAGCCTGTGCCGGTGGGTGTGGTACCGCCCATGCAGCCAGCATTTATTCCAGCTCAGCCCTATGCTGTAGCAAATGGGATGACCTATACAGCCCCAAGCGTCCCTGTGGTTGGAATCACACCTTCCCAGATGGTAGCAAACGTCTTTGGTACTGCAAGCCACACTCCAGCAGCCCACCCGCATCAGTCCCCCAGTCTCGTCAAACAGCAGCCGCTCCCGCAGTACGAGAGCAGCAGCGCCACAGCCAGTCCTTTCTTCAACCCCCCCGCGCAGCACAACGGCTCCGCAGCTTTCAACGGAGTCGACGGTGGGAAATGGGCTGCCGAGGACAAGCATTCCCAGCCCCCCGTGGCTGCTCCACAGGTAGACGCGTTTGAAGCACAGTGGGCAGCACTAGAGAGCAAGGCAAAACAGCGCACTAATCCCTCCCCAACTAACCCCTTCTCGAGCGATTTACAGAAGACATTTGAGATTGAACTTTAAGCAGTCCTATGGGGGAGATGGATAAATTGTACATTAGGATAGAGGGATAAAGGGAGCAAAGGGGACTGTTTCTGATCAGTTTGCTTTGATAATCCCAAAGGTCCCTTAAAACAAATATGGGTTAGAAAGAGGGAGCATTATGGGGAGGACATAAACATACGGAGAATTTAATGTGCAGTTCTTAAAAAGAATCCTGGAGTCACCCCAGTCTGCATTCCCTCCTCACTTGGAAAGCTGGAAGTTGAATGGAGGAGATAAAGGCACCCAGTCCCAAAGCCTGTTCTGCAGAAACATCAATCATCTCACACAGAAAGGAAGGCAGATTTTTGTACCTGTGTCCTTCTGATGCCCTGCAAGTCCTGGATGTTCCCCCTCAGGGAAAAATGGGGTAGGGTGGGGGGGTGGATATGGATGGGATGTTGTCACCTTAGCAAAAGCTAGGTTTGTGGAAAAAGTTGAGCTTCCATTTTGAGTAACAAAGTGAATATTATATGTAAAGAATAAAGTAAAGCCAAAATCTTTATTTTTATGCATTTAGAATATTTTAAATAGTTGGATATTAAAAGCTGTATGAGTTGTAAGTAATCTTGCCAAAGGTTAAAAAAATGGGGGTTGGATGTAAGAAATTGTACATAAAAGATTGATTTATCTCTGATTCTTATTGTAAGTAATATTGGGGGGGTGGAAAAAGGGGCTCTAGCTTGTTCTTGTATCTGTTCATTGTAAGTAGCATATTGCAACAACAATCACAACCAATAAGTCATTATATCGTAGTTTTAAACAAAGAAAATTAAAGAACAGTATTGTCATGGTTCGAAAACCATGGGGAAAACTTACTGTTTTTTATTGGAATCAGTCTACATATTCTATATAGTATGGTTTTTTCCTTTCATATATTGCTGCAGTTTCTTTGTCTTAATCTCTTGGTTCTAACACTACTGTGACAACTTACTGTAATCATATCTATATCCTGGGACTGCCTGGGAAACCATTTTATGTTTGTCTGTCAATAGTTCTTAGCAGTTTTTAACTTTGGTTTTGTTTTTTCCCACTGATTTGTGAAACCTTGTGGTTAAGGCTGCAGCTGGTCCAGGTTCTGCCTCTGGTGACTTGTGAAAACCATCTCATTTTAACTTTACTTTTAAACTTTGGCCTTACAAGCAAATGTAAGTTATATATATTTGTACTGATGATTTATAATCTGCTTTAACAGAAATAAATGTTGGTGGTAGAAGCACTGTCTGTGAAAGTTTTATTTCCCACCCTGATTCAGTTTTCAGTATTTGCCCTTCTGGGTATCTTCTGTGTTGTTAGGCGAATATAGGTAAGCCCTGCTTGCCAACCTAAAAGCTTAAGAATAATATCTTAACACCTCTTGTTTATTACAATGTAAGGTTACCTTGAACTTTAAGACTGAACTTGCAAAATATCCTTGTGACCCATAACCATATAAAGCTCTAAAATGGAGGCCATTACTGATAACATCAGATTCTAGGTTTGCATCACTGCATTTTCTGTCACTGAATATTTACAGAGAGACAAATATGAGGACATTAACATTTAGTGAGGGCAAAGAGGAAAACTCGCTTTGTTTTTCTTTTCCCTACTACTAAAAGGAGCCCTATGAGATGATGGTGTGTTTTCACTCTTTTTCTGTTCTTCCAGTGAGCTCATATCTACCCTGTTAGTACGACTGGTTCTCACTGCATTCTTATGGGCACCATGTCAGTTTAGACAGAAGGGGAAGTCAGACTCCGTAACGCGAAGGGGAAGAAATGCTTCCTTTGTCTGCCCCTTGTATTGGAGCTTGCCAGCAGCTTCCATTTCCAGGCAAGTACAGTGAGTCACACAGTGACACAGTCTAAAAACCGGTGACTTTTTACTTTACAGATTTTTACCTGCTTTCAGTATGATATGAACAGTAATGGAAACACTCCCTATGGTATTTGACTTGGTATAAATGCTTTTTTCAGCTTCCAAAAAGCTAACATAATTGTAGACATTTATAGTAGGAAATAGAGTAGCTATAAGTTGTTCTGTTAGTTTCATATCTTTCACAGTAAGTGCCCCAAGATAGCTGAAAATAGCCCAGTATAGCTACACCCTTCTCGTGCCCTAGAGATAAGAACTTCCTACAATCCATTGTTTAGGGAAGAAAATTAACATCTTGATTCTTGGATAAAAAAAGTAAACATTGAGTCAAGTGGTTAAGTAAGTGGTACTATAGAGAGGGAGAAGCTCATCTTGTCAAATAGAAGAAATGTAAAGACCCATTAGATAACTTTTACAGTGATGGCATGTATTTAAAGCAGGGAACTGCATGCCTGCCAATCTCATCCATCCTGCCATGGTTATGCAGCTGAAAGGAGGTCAGAATAAACTCTCCGCTAAACAAAACATTTTCAGTGTCAAAGTCCTGGCTATCAGAATGCAGGGGGCTGTTGCAGCCCTCATAAGTCTTGAGAAAGCACTTTCTGACCCCATCTTTTGTAACCACACAGCTTAAATGATAGCTGACTACAGAGAATACTTAAATACTCTAAAAATAGCGCCTCTGACATAGTAGAAAGGAACTTTATAGAACTGACTACTTACGCTGGGACAAGAGTCTTGATACACCTTCTAACCATGCCCCCGAGCAGGTTTGCAGCCCTTGACTACCCGTGGATGCCTGTCACATATAAACTGAGGGCTTCAATAAGACTGGAATTTACAGCGTCTGTGATTAGTCCTCTGGTCTCAAAAGACAAAATCCTACTATAATATCCTAAATACACAAAAAGGTGCTGGTCTGAGCTGTGAAATGCAAAAATATGTACAAACACAGTTTGAAATTTTCAGGACTATCTCATTGTTCTTAAATAGCCAGTGATTTCTACTTCAAAACTTAACTGTAACACTTGCCCTGCATTACAGCAGAGGAAGTTTTCCCTGATCAAATTAAAGGGTCTTAACTGCAAAATAAGTATTTTCTCTAGCAAACAGAATCTATCAGACCACAGAGAGAGACCCAGCCCCAAATAGCTGTGTGACTGTCACCTCTCACTCCTGTACTGGATTGCTTCTAGCCTTCACAGTTTTGTTCACATCTTTAAGCAGTGTGTTCAGTCCTGAAGCCACACCCGTGCCGATGAGAGTGCAATCATCAGGTCAGTAATTCTTATTTTTAGGTTCATCCAAACTGATTTACTGGACTTAGAGTACAAACCAGCTTTAGGCTGTCAGCCTGAGGATTTACACCTATATATTGCTGCTGCTCTGATGGGTACTGAGTCGGGACTGAAGGAGTGTGGTGTGAGCACAGTCCTGAATTAGCTGCTTCCTTAGAAGTCTTAAAGTAACACAAGTAGAAGACAAAAGTAAAAAAAACCATCCACCCTCCCCCAAACAAAACATCAGCATCTACACACCAGTCTCCTAATTTGTAGCTACATCTATGCAAATAATACATGGGTAATGATGCTAATTAGTATGGTCAACCCATCCAAGTCTCAGCAGGGAGTTTGGAATGAGGAAGAAGGGGAGTGTCAGGGCTGATGCTTGGGTAAAACAATAGTGTAGAAGCTGTAAAAAAAATGCTTTTGCTCAGAAATAATTCCACTTTGAGATACAGAAGATGCCCAAGGGCCTTTCCTGGTTTAACAGGAATATAATTATATAATCTCACCTTCCGCCTGAGACTTTCAGAGCCTCATCCTTGTTAGTCTTGAAATGAAGGATACTTTTCAGCTACAGCTACTGTGCATCTGGAAGTCCTAACTTGTTAGCCCATAGCAGCAGGCATCAGCCCAGGCCACATGCAGAACCAGGCTTTCCCTGACAACTAACTTTTTCCTGGAAAGCCAGGCCATCCAGGACTTAACTGAGACTACAGCAGATCATTGGGAGGTTTATTCTGTCAAGTCAAATGCACCTACACATGTATTTCTATGTGTATACTATTTGTTTCCTCCAAGCTGAAACTCAGCGCAGTGCTACCGCCGACCCCAGTTTTGCGATAAATTGAACAGCACAGTTCTGGTTTGAGGAAAAAAATTATTTGTGTTGAGCCTTCCTAGAATGAGTGATATTTAAACTGCAGCATCTCAGAACAGCTAACAGTGTTGGCATATTCATCTAAATTACCCCTTACATTCACGAAGGGCTAGAAGTATTTTTCTGTTTTGTCTTAATCTTTCTGTGAAGCACTGCTCCTGTGTTTCACTCCAAAGCTGATTATAGTCAAGTAGAAACCAAACTGACCCTACTAGAAATTTGTCTAAAGTCTACTGGAATAAAACAGCTACAGTAACCTGACATTGCAGCTGCAACCCCAGAACTAGTAAGCCCCTGGAACCCAAACACTAATTTTATATGCATCCAGCTGTCTCTCATTTAGCTGTTTGCATTGAGATGGAAAGCACTTCTCAGGATTACAAATGTTCATTGCTCATTAGTGCTTTGGTTAAGGTGGTTCAGGCCCAACTTCAAACACTTCAGAGATTATTTTTTAAGAGCACTTCTCTCTCTTACTTGTATAAAGAATTGGTGTCTCCCTCTTTCATGCTGGTTATCTGCTTTCTCTAGTCACATCATCCTTACTTTCCCAATATTATCTTGTTATGTGAATGACAGCAACTACCCTGAAGAGATGGATTAGGTACAGCAAGACACACAGGGGGGAAAAGGAGTTTACAATAAACTTGGGGGTAGTGGGTCTCCCACATTTGAACCTTTACACCCACTACACACTGTTCAATTCACCCTCTTGAGCAGCAGCGCGGAGCTCCCAGAACAGTCCCATGCAGTCAAAGAACAGAGTTCAGACTTCCAGCCTTGTCCTGGGTCACCTGTACTTCTCCGTGGGGGTGCCTGTCACCCGCGGTGATGCGGTGCGCTGGCCTGCGCTCGGTGGCGAGCACAGCTGGCACAGCAGAAGCTGGAGTAGTATTCATTACCACAGAGCTGGGCCTGCAGGATCAGGTCACAGTTGGCGAGGTGGGGCTGGTCCACGCACTCTCTACTCAGATCCACAACATGACTCGTAGTAGCTGCAGTCAAGCAAAAGGTGAACCAGCTGTAAATTTATTCTCAGCTTGCTTTTCCCTCCCAAAAGACACAATATGTTCCTGCTTCCTCTACCTCACTGGTTCTGAGGGGATTGTTTTAAATTTAGTCCAACATCAGGAATGAGATGATGAGTTTCAAGATGAATCTGACACCTCTGGTGAGGTACAGGAGGAGAATGCATTTTCAGGGGCGGACCTCCTGACAAGAGACCACTCAACCTACACTTTGTGTAAGGTCAGCTGGATGGTGTCCACAGTCCAACTACAAACCTTGCAGCCAACTATTTGGTCAACCAACTATGGCATTTTGGCCTCAGGATGTTATTTAGGCTCCCGGTGCCCCGCTTTGCACCATCCTGCTTTTCTGCCCAGGGAAAGCAGGCTCCTGCTGCTCCCCAAAGCCCAAGGTTGGTGGTGGACTGGCACACACAATGGGCAGACTTATAACAGCAGCCAAGATACAGGCACTGTGCAGGGAGAAGCAGGAAGACCAGGCTGTACTCACTGCTAGGCCTGTTCCTCAGCACTTTCACCTCCGTGCTGGCACTGACAGAGTTACTCCTGCTGTAGGCATTGCATGTGTAGGATCCTTCATCAGCCTCTTGGACGTTGCTTATGATCAGGCTTCCATCCTGGGACAGGTGGATGTGGTGGCCATCCCCCCGCATGGGGACTCCATTCCTGTGGTGAAAAACATTTTGTATCACTATTCCCACCCATGGGGGCTAAAGGAACTCTCTGTGCTCTTTGGAAACTGATGTTCCATGAAAGGGGAGAATTTTTACAAATTCAGCAGGAAGTAAGAAGAAATCTCTAGCCACAACTTGTCCCTACAATTGTGTAGTAACACGAGCCTGAGGGAGTCTACATCCGTTAGCCCGCAGTCTGCGTGGGAGGTAGCTCGCTGTGTGCTCCATATAAAGACATTGCCCTTTCCACTAGTACACATTTTTGAGGTCTGAGGGACCAAGAAAAAATCCAATGTGCCTTTCCCTCTCTCCAGGTTGTGGTCTGGCAGTACTTGTTTGGCTGGCATTGATAGCAGCGCATATTGCTTGAGGAGCATATGGGGTAGTGAGCAATGTGCCCTCTTTCCTCTCTCTTAAAAGTTTCTTTAAAAAAACAGCAAGATTGTGTCTGTTCAGTTCCTCCTGGAATAATCTGTGCCTAGCAGGAAAACTGCCTGAATTGTGAACTCCTACTTACCAATGAAATGAAATTTGTTTCACTGAAAAGGGTTTTTTCGTTCAGACTCTGAAACATGCAACATTTTGTAAACTCAAATACCAACATGTATGGAAGAAAAGCTCTCTTCGTTAGATGGCCCACTTCAGTCCTAACCCTCAGAGTAAAGGGATTTAAACAATTACCAGTCCATGTCTCTGGATACTTTGTAAGAAGGCTCCGAAACAGAACTGATTATTGCCAAACAGGAGAAAAATCCCCACCAAACACTTGCACAAATTCTGAGTTTCCCAGTAAACAATCAAGAGAAGAGGACAAAGCTTTTCACCTTAAAACACTTTTAAATCTCCCTTGCTTCCACTTAACAGTACATGGAGAGAAGTATTGCAGCAGGAAGCTGGGAGAAGAGTTGCTGTTACTGTAGGGGCTAAAATGTTTGTTAGGGCTAGGCAGAGAGGGTTTTATAAAGAGCAACTAAAGGTTTTCCTCTGATTACTCATTTTAGTTCTTGCTATTGTCATGTTAACTAGCTTTCCAGCACAGAGCCCTTCTGAACTCCATGAAATCTTCGTTTAATGTTTGCTTTCCTCCTTATTTGACCGGAACATGAACTTGATGACCCTGCCACACCCCACAGGGATCTTGGTAACTAACATCCAAGTTGTTTAAGAAAGGGTAGGTGATACTAGTTGGGCTGAGAACTGTGGTCTCTGCCTTAACTGGCAGGCACCCTGCATTAGTATTTGCAGGGTAAATGATGATGTTTGTAAAGAGAAGGAATGGGAAGTTGTTCTGTCTCATTTTTGCTCACCTTGACCACCTTATATTCACGTTGTTGCCAGTCACTGTACAATGAAGCCGAGCAGTACCTCCTTCAGGTACCATGATGCTTGGCAGAAGACCAGTGATCCTCAGCTCTCCTACACCAGAAGGGAAAACATTACTGCAGGAAGACAATGCTGAGCTGCACCTGGTAGCAGGAAAAGGCTCATGCCCAAGTCCAACACAACTCATGATGAGCTGCAAGTCCCTACACCTTGAAATAGCATGTTTGAGGCTGTGCTGCTGTTGCTATGTGGAATGTGGATTTCCTAAGGGCTTTGGCCTGAGCAAGGGCAAGTAGCAGAGGCCTCAAAGAGCATTTTTGTCCAGCTGGACACATGCATGTTACATGCACAGAAAGACGATCTACTCAGTTTCTCTTGCTCTTATACCCATTCCACCTGCAAATAAGGCCCTGAGAGTGACCCTTCCTGTGCCTTTTCCCACTGCCTGGAGCACCATGATGCACTAGACACATGCAGATTACCATTGGGCAAAACAACTCACTCTTCCCTTGCCCTCAAGCTGCCTGTTAAACATTAGGTGCAACAGCAAAGAGGCATGGCCAGCCAAGAAACACACACTCCCTGCACAGCCCTCCCTGTTTCCTGCTTTTGTGCACACGTGTCATGCATTCCTCCATCCATCCAGTACCTAGGGGTCGGAACAGGACCTGGCGCCGGTCCAGGTCACGTCCATTCGAGGCAACACAGGTAAAGAAGCCGAGATCTTCAGGGCTGACCCGGCTGATCACCAGGGCCCCATCTGACTGCTGCCTGTGTCTGGGGAACAAAACCAGAACCTCCCTCAGCCTGCGCTCAGGTCAGGATGGACCTCCAGATAGCAGAGCTGAAGCAGCGCCTCATGCACAACTGTGCAGTACTACTGAGCAAAGGTTTAGCTGCTCAAACACTGCAGGGGTTGTAATACAACCCTTAGTCGTCAAATCCCAGAACTGGTGCTGTAGACGCTGGAAAAGCTTGCTGCTAGAGCAGGTTTCTGGGAGCAGAGTGAGGACAGCTGCAGGAGAGCAGCACCAGTAGCCATGACAGTTCACTGCAGGCACCCTGATCTCTCTCTGCTGTGAACCTCTGCCCTTGCTCACAGACCAGCGGGGTTTTGGCAAATTCGCTTGCCACGTGTACTTTTTCTGCTAGCTTTGTAGATGAACAAATTTCAGCCTTGACTCACTTGTAGACCCTGTGTCACAGCTGTTCACTCAAGGGTTCAATGTTCAGACTTTGATCTGTGAGTGAGGCTGGGGTAGGCAAGCAGTACAGTCTGGCCCTGGTGGAGGAATTTGGCCAGCATAAAGGACAGGTCATTGCTGCATGGCCATCAGCATCATTCTCTCAAGGAGGAGTCAGGGAAGGAAAGGAGGAGGCTCTTCTTCACATGAATGGTTGAAGCCACCTGGGAGCTCACCTGGGAGAGGAGAGGGGCTGCCCATCTTTCTGCCACTCAATGGTGAGAGTGGGTGATGCTTCCACTGTGCAGGGCAGTCTGACTCTCTCCCCAACACTGGCCTTCACTACTGTGGGCTCACTCTTATCCATTCTCAACCTGCAAAGTTCACAAGCACAGCAAAAGATGTAGAAACTTCCTTGTTCAGCATTTGACCTTCAGCACAAGGCTTTTGTAATCACAAGCCTTAGTCTGTGTCTCCAACAGAAAAGGGTGGTCTCTGCACTCCTATCAGAGCTCTGATGCTTGCCATTACCAGCATTCAGCAAAGAGCAGCCTCCATCAAATCCTGCTCCACTTCAGCACAGCTTGGTGCTGCACTCCTGCCAGCTTAACCCATTACAGACAGCAACCCTGATTCTTACAGCAACCCTCCATATAACAGCTGAGGAAGCACTAACAACGTGAACACATGGCAAAACGGTACAAAGTCATGAACAGGGCATCAAGCAAGCTTCCCCCAAGGTGCTTATCTGGCACACAGAAATGAACCATTTTGGGATGTGAAAGAGCCCATTGCAATCACCTGAATGCGTGCAAGGCCCAGGAGCTGGTCATCCACTTCATGCAGCAGAAAGGTTGAGGTCGGACTCTCACGACACCCATCTCCTCATGCTCTTTGCTCTCTGATAACTACAGCTAAGCACCGTTTTACAAGGGAACTAAACTATGATGATCCCAGAGTCAAATAAAACATCATCTCCCTGACCCCTTTTCTCTGACCTGAATTCTTGATCTCAAAAAAACAAAATCAAAGAGCAACACTCTTAATTCAGTGAATCACTTATTACTGCTTTTAGGCAGAAGCAGCTAAGGAGATTGCTGGGGAGTTCAGCAAATTGGCTGGGTTTTAGGTTGTAAACTCAAAAAAAAAGAGGGATCAGATCACGGTCCCATTTATTCTGGAGTCCCAACACGCTGCGTTTAAGGCAAAAATAATTTGTCCACTTTTATTTCTGTGGAGCCTAGAAGCACCAAAAAAACCATGCAAGAAGCTACAAAATATGCCAGCACATGAGGAGATAGGTTTGGGTCAAACAGGTTTGTTCACAAAATATTTAAAATTAATGGGTGGAAGCTAGAGCAACTAGAACTGTTTAAAATAGAGATATGTCTATTTTGTGCTAGTTAGGCAGTTCCTATTTGCTTTGTTTTTTTCCAGAACAGATTTCTCTTTCTGCCTACACTAACTTGAACATCTAAGGATGCCACCCCAATACTTCTTTTGTCTGAGCCTAACTCCTTTGCTGTCAGCTTCTCTGTGCATTTTTGCTCAGAATATGCTTCTTTCAAGAGACCCTCGGGGACGACAGAAGACAGCTTGCGACTGGGATCTTCTCCCGTTCCCGTTGTCAGCAGTTCAGTACTGCTTGCTTCCCAACCGGGCCCCAGAACAGCTGACCCAGGACCTTTCCAATCTTCAGCTTTTCTACATGAAGAGATGCCATATGGTTCATCAGCTGGTCACAGTAGACAAACTGTTGCTGTGTGTGAACTTACCTGTATGTGAATTGCTGATGCACAGGGGACCCGGCTGCATGTACAACTTTCCTGCCTCTGGATAACTCTCGAAGCTGCTGATTTTCCTTGTGACGGACCCGACCTCTCTCACCCTCTGCCAGAACAGTGCTCTGGTACTCTATTCAAAACAAAATGCCATATGTGAATAAAAGGACACTTCTTACTGTGACCTCTTGCGTAGGGTTTCTATGAGCTTGGGAGAGCTTGCTGAACTGGAGCCAAAGAGCCCTTCAGCCATCTGTTTTCTGGCTGACTAGTGCAGTAAACCTGCACTGTCTACTAATGAGAGTCACAGACCTGCAGGCAAGCAATTTTAGACTCCTTTCTCTCCTGTGTCAGTGAGCATGTTGCAACATCCCTTAGGCCACAATGCCTTCTGCCCCAGTTGCCATTGCTGTTGCAAAGCACACTTCAGAGATGGAAGGCTACAGGGTGCCTTGCTGGCCCATCTTTTGAGACTAGAAATTTTTTGGGTTTGTTTCTGAAAAAAGGCACATTTTTCAGAACAGGGAATCATTTGTTACCCAGCAGGATCTGTTTGGGCAAAATACAAAACATAAATGCACCTGCACTTACAAGGATCAGGAGGCAGCTGATGGCTCTCAGGGATGATGACATGATCGCTGTGCTAGAAAATGGGGCAGGTTACAGGCAAGCCACAACTCCAGTTACGGGGTGGCACTGCAGGGAAAGAAGTGCTTTAGGGCTAAGGCTTTATCATGAGTGTCCTAGTTAGGACAGCTGAGATCAGTTCATCATGGTGGGTGTAACCCAAAACTGTATTCTATAGCCTTCCATGTCATTTCCCAGAAACTAGACTATTGTTGTCAATAGGCTATTC